AAAAAAAAATAAATAAATAAATAAATAAATAAATAAAAATAAAGAGACAGGGACTTGCTCTTGCTCAGGCTGGCCTCGAGCTCCTGAGCTCAAGCAATCAACTTGTGTTGGCCTCCCAGCATGTTAGGATTATACGTGTGAGCCACTGTGCCCGGCCTCAAAAACTATTTTTAAAGGAGGGAAGACAGAGTTAGAAATTGAGAGTGCTGAATCATTAAAATAAAAAAATAAATTTAATATGCCTTCACATCATCTTATGATAAAACATAAATTATAAATTAAGTGGGTACAAAGAAATCACAGGTTTAAAGTGTTTTGTATCTTCCACTATTAAGCCAGGCAGCTGCTGAGTGTATGTGGCTCAAGGCTACAAGCGAGAGAGGAAGGAGTGGGCATTAACTGCCAATGGGCTTGAGGTTGTTTTGGTGATGTTTTGCGATTAAATCGCAGTGATGACTGTACAACCAAAAAACAGCCGGGAGTTGTGGCAGGCACCTGTGGTCCCAGGAACTTCGGATGCTGAGGCAAGAGAATCAGTTAAGCCCAGGAGTTTAAGGTTTTATGCAATTTAAAACTTAATTCAAGAGCAGGCATGGTGGCTTAAGGTTCTGTAATTTCAGCATTTTGGGAGGCTGAGGTAAGAGGCCAGGAGTTCAAGATCAGCCTGACCAACACAGCAAGACCCTGTCTCTACCAAAAGATTTAAAAAATCAGCTTGGTGCCTGTAGCTCAAGCAGCTAAGGCACCAGCCACATACACCAGAGCTGGCAAGTTCAAATCCAGCCTGGGCCTGCCAAACAATAATGACAACTACAACCAAAAAATAGCTGGGCGCTATGGCAGGCTCCTGTAGTCCCAGCTACCTGGGAAGCTGAGGCAAGAGAATCGCTTAAGCCCAGGAGTTAGAGATTGCTATGAGCTATGATGCCGTGGCATTCTACCCAGGGCGACAGCTTGAGGCTCTGTCTCAAAAAAAATAAATAAATTTAAAAAATCAGCCAGGTGTGGTGGTATATTCCTATATCCCCAACTACTCAGGAAGTTAGGTCAGGAGGATTGCTTGAACCCAGGAGATGGAAGTTATGGTGAACTATGATCACACTATTGCACTCTAGCCTGGACAACAGAGTGAGATCTATTCAAACAAAATTCTTATCTCAAATTATCACATCTATGAAGCCTTTCCTGGCTAAGTAATTATAAAATAACAACCCCCCAGGTTTTCTATCTCCTTCACCTAATTTATTTTTCTCCTTAATTATTACCACTATATAACATACTATTATTTTATTTATTTATCCTATTTATGGTCTGTCCTTCTGCTAGAATTAAGCTCTAGGAGGAAAGGGATTTATTAAATTAAAATTTATTAACTCTTGTATCAGAGTGTCTGATACACAGTAGACTCTCAATAAATATTCAACAAATTAATAAATAAAACAGTTTAGGAAAATAAATTCCAAACATCTTGGCT